ATTGAGAGGAAAAAGCTTCATTTTGGGGGTTAAATAACAAAACCGAAACTACACCGTTTTGACCCCTGATTCATCCGTGTTTTCAAAAAAAAAAAAGGAAATGCCAGATTTAGTTTGTAATCCTGCTATTTAGCTATTAATGCAGCTTTTAGATATCCTAATTGGAGCCTTTATTTTTCAATATTTTCATTCTGGTCACTAATTTATATATTGTGTTTGATGATTTTCATATTCGGCCCTGTAATTTATGCATATTCTGTTGTTATCACTATTTGGTAGTTGGTTAAATTATTATTTAGTCCCCAAACCTTTATTTTTTTTCTTTTTTACCATTTTATTTCATTTAGGTTTTTTAAATTATTATTTGTTTTATATTTTTATTTCTTATTTTCTTCCTTATTTTTAATATTTTTTATTCATTTTTCTCCTTGATTTATTTATCCTTTTTTATTTATTTTATTTTTATCTAACATTTTTCATTTCTCTTTACTATTTACTTTTATTTTATTTATTATTATTATTTCATCTAACATATATTTTTTTAGTAATTTCAACCAATCAGAGGTGAGTAATTCGAATCGAACGTTTTAAATTTAAATTTAAATTTTCGCAATTAAAGACAACCGACAAATTAATTGGTACCGAAAGGGCGGTTTAAGGGTATTAATCCTTCCTTGACCGTAACCGACTCCTGAACCGGACACATTTATGGTAAAACGCAGATCAGGTAAGATGGCGTCCGATCCACCTAAATTCATTTTAAAATGATCGATAGCGACTCCTAATCATTTAATCCAAATCGAAGTCCAATTTTAGACCCAACCGAAAGACGGTCGCGACACTATGTATATAATATATATATTATCAATATATTAAAAAAAATTATCAACCAATATCGTTTTATTAAAAAGAAATTATTATAAATAATTAAAGTACATTGGGAATTTATTAGAAAATGAATTGGTTAAAGAAAATTAAAAAATTGATCCAAAACCTATTGAGTAATGTGTAGCCCCTAAAATAACTTCAGGTGCTCTATACCAAAGGGTCAATATCTCATGAGTATACTTTTTGATGGGAAGAGTGAAAGCACGACCAAGGCCGAGATCGGCTATCTTAAGCGCCATGGTCTTTCTGTCCATGAAGAGATTGTGGGCTTAAGGACCTTTGTAAAATTCCATGGTCGTTACAGAAGGTAACACCTTTGCACAGTTGGTACATCAAGCTCTTGACAATGTTGACCGGAATGCTATCCCCAGTTTGGCGAAAGGAACGAATTTCTTTCTTGAGATCGGTATCCATGTACTCAAAAACCAAGTACAAAACCGTCTTTCCTTCTTTATTTTGCCCTTGTTTAACATCCATCAATCTGACGACATGAGGATCGCGAGAGAGCATGCGTAAGATCGAGATATCACAGAGAGTGGTGGGAGGGACGCCTTCATCGTCCTCGTGGAGGCGCGTCTTCTTCAAGGCTACGATCTTCCCCGTCACTCTCTCCCTTGCTCTGTAAACTTTCCCGTAAGTTCCCTCTCCCACATTCTCCAACTTCTCAAACGCCTCCATCGCTGAAATTTGCCTTTGTTAATAGATTAGATATGGGAGGAAAGGAACCGAAGGATTTTCAGAGGAAGTTCTAGATCTGAGGATGAAGTTCTATTATCAATCAAGCAGATTGTAGGATCACTTCTAAGTAATAGGAATGTTAATAGATTAGATAGCACTAATTTATCTCTCTGTAATTATTGGAGTATAGTCTGATTTTTGTTAAATATGAACCAATATCATTTATTGATATTATATTTTTATCAAGCAGTTTAGGTTCTTTTTATGCAAAGAGCTGTTATTTATTATTAGTAACTATCAGATTCTATGTTGGTGAATGCTGATCTAGTATCCAACTCCATCAAGTTGATCAATTTTAATTTTGAGCTGACTGCATATTATTGGAGTTAGTAATTTTTAGATGCAGCTTCTGCTAAACACCTTCATTTCTTAGTTCCTATTGCTTTTTTGTCTTTATGCGTTAGCATCAGTCTTTTCTATAGTTAATTATGCTGAATTATTTTTGCAGGTATTTGATTGTTGGTTTGAGAGTGAATCAATGCCTTCTGCTTACATCCACTATCCGTTTGAGAACATTGAACTTTTTGAGAAAATTTTCCTGGGCACTTTGTGGCAGAAGGACTAGATCAAACTCGTGGATGGTTGTTCCCTACTGTTTTATATGTTATTCATTATTCCTAGATTTTAGTGCACATGTGGATTGAGTTGATCTTATGCATTTTGACCATTTTGCAAACCAAATGAGCATTGAGTTGCTGAATTTTCTTTTTCTTTTTAATTTTTTGACATGCATGATTAATGTCGAAGCATTTCCATTGTCTTATAACCCTTTAATTTTTCTTTATTGGAAGTGGTGTGAGGGTAGATGTAACAATTTTGGAGTTTAGACTGCCATCTCATCCAGTTAATTTTTCTCATTTTAGTTATCGTTTTCCTCTATGTTACATGGACTCAGGATTAAGTGTCGGGTGCTCGGTATGGCTATATTTTTCTACGTTTTCCTAATTATACAATATCCAAGTGTTGGACACGGGTAATTTTGTAAGATTGGGTAAAGTCTTGCTAAGTAGGGAATGGACACTACCAGGCCCGGTCCTGATATTTTAAGGGCCCTAGGTCAGGAGGTGATGACAAGAAGACAAGTGGAGGCTCATACCTGATTTCCCTCCCAATCATTAAAATGGGGCCCACTGGATTATCATATTTTCAAGTTTTTTAAATAAAAATTGATATTTAAAAATATATTTTAAATATTGGGACCCACTGAATTACCATATTTTCGAGTGTTTGAAATAAAAAAAATATGTTTAAAAATATTTTTTAATTATTAAACTTAAAAATTGGCCCCTCCAAGCTTGGGGCCTAGGCGGTCGCTAGGGGTGTATTCGGTTCGGTTTTTTACCAAAAATTGAACCGAACCGAAATAAACGGTTTTTCAAAATTTAAACTGAAACCGAATGGTTAAAAAACCGAAAAAACCAAAACCGGTTTTTTCGATTCGGTTCGGTTTTTTTTAATGGTTCGGGTTTTTCGGTTCGGTTCGGTTTATCGGTTTTTCCATGAAAAAATCACTTGAAACTATAATTTTTTTTTAAAAAATTGCCTATTCGGTTCAATACGGAACAAATGGGTTCCATATGAAAAACCCGAACCGAATCAAAAGAATTGAGATTTTAAACCGAACCGAAAATCGAACCGTATAATGCCAAACCTAACCGAACCGAACCGTTTTACTCGATTCGTGTCGGTTTTTCGGTTTTCTCGATTTTGTTGCTCAGCCCTAGCGGTCGTCCCTCGCCTATGCTCAGGGCCGACCCTAGACACTACTGTGTTTCGGTTGAATATTCTGGTCATTATGTGGTGGATGTTTTCTGATTGTAATTGGTTGTGTTGAACTCTTGATGTACTTGGTAATTTTTTGAGTACTCTTTACTCCTTCAAATGAGGGTTGAGTTATTTCGTAGCTTGATATTATGAAGGGGTTTTAATGAGGCCTCCCATTTTTATAAAAAAAAATAAAACACTGATTGTACACATTTTCTGCAGTGCTGTTAGATTTTTTTTCCCATTTCATGCTGATAGCGTCCGAGTGTACATTTGTTTATTATTTGTTTAATATTTTGGTTCTCGAATGAGTAGTTGTTATTAGGTGATGATTTCATTAACTTTTTATGAACCTTTTCCCTCCTGTTTAACCCTCTTGAGAAGTTTTGTGACTGAAGTTTGGTTCTATGACATTTTTTCTTTCTTTAAATCTTGTAGATTTTACACTCTCATGGTGTGTCAACTGCTTTATTTGGGAAACCTGCATTTAGAAATCTCATTTGCACTGGGCTTGTCCTTGCTGACGACGGAAAGAAGATGAGTAAAAGGTTGAAAATTATCCTGAACCCACGGACGTCATTAATGACTATGGCGCTGTAAGTCATTATCTGTATATATTTATTTTTAAAAAATTGTTCACTATAGTTAGTGAGTATTTCGTGTTGTGAGTATTTTCTGTTCGTTGCCTGCTATGTACCAGCTCTTGCTTCTGAGAAGATATTTTTTATCATCTTATTGTTTCCTTATAGTTAGTTTTTGGTGTTCTGTTGCATATTTCTGACGTTTATTTTCTTAATCCCTTACCTTGATATCTGCCCAGGTCAAAGATGTCTTCCTCCCTTGGTAAAATGCGTATAGGTTTTTTGTTCAAAATGCTAAAAGACTCGAGCATGTGGGTTCTGCCCATTTGTTCCTATTGCTGTCACTGTTCTTCAGATGTCATCTAATGTGCTTGATCAATGGATAAATTCTGCAACTCAAAGTCTTGTTCACTTTGTTCAAGAAAAAAATGGATGCTTATCGACTTTATACGGTTCTGTCTATAACCAACATAACCTCTTGGAATTTCCTTTCGTATATATCAATATGAGAGACATTGAATTTAATACTAAGTCAATTTAGAAATTTTGGCAACATTTATCTGGGGTTTGATATAGATACCCACTTTAGCATTCAGTGTTGCATCAGCTTAGCAACTTTTTTGGTCCATACCAGCATTTTAAGATTTAAGAATTCTGTGAGAATAACACTACCATAGCACATTTGAGATTACCTTCTTTCAGTAGATGCTATGCATTAGTTTCTTGTACATATATTATATCAATCTGTAAAACTGAAAGAATGTGTGTATATACATTTTTAGGTGGTTCCATATCTTTTGAAGTTTCTTGACAACCTCACAAATATATATGTGAGATTCAACCGTAAGAGACTGAAAGGCCGTTCTGGAGAGGAAGACTGCCGTATGGCACTCTCCACTTTATAATGTATGTACTATCATTTCATTTTCTTACCGGCGATTTATTGCTTGTAATCTGTTATTATGCATTCGGTAATGATCGTATCACTATTTACATGCTTAGAACTTTGTACAATGGTTTTAGGTGCTTCTAACTTCATGTAAGGTTATGGCTCCCCTTTACCGTTCTTCACTGAGGTTCTTTATCAAAACATGAGAAAAGTCGGTGATGGAGCAGAGGAAAGCATCCATTATTGTAGATTTCCTCAGGAAGAAGGAAAGGTATTGTTCATTTTTGTTGTAATTATGCTAACATAGGCTGGTCTGTATAGTTCATTAATGGTTTATTTTCTTAATTATGAAGTTTCTTTCTACTATAAATTTTACTGAATTGAATGTCATTGGTGTCTTAAGAGGGGGGATCGAATTGAAGAAAGTGTGACAAGGATGATGAAGATAATTGATCTTGCCCGCAACATTCGTGAGCGTCACAACAAGCCTTTCAAAACACCTCTGAGGTCTGCTTATAAGCTGTCTCTTGCTGATATTTCTCTTATATGTTTCTGCTCTTTCTGTAGTCTCTTATCCATTCGTTCTTTGTAATTTAGAGAGATGATAGTTGTTCACCCAGATGAGGACTTTCTTGATGACATAGCTGGCAGATTAAGAGAGGTGCGTGAGCAGTGTGGAATCTTCAGTTTTTTTTCTTTCTAAAGATAAACTTCCATCTAGGTTACAAAGACTCCTAAGACTTATCTTTCATAAAAGACTCCTAAACAGCATAGGACTAATACTACTACTACACGTCTGCTTCTGATAACTCTTTTCCTTGCATTTCTCTCAGGTGATGTTTTGGTGGTTTTGGATTTACGGCCAGATGAATCATTGTTTGAAGCTGGCATTGCACGTGAGGTAGATAAAAATGGTGCCAATAACATCATTAATTCTAATTCAAAGGATGTTGTAGTTATCTTATTTCTATTCCTTTCGATTAGCAATTGTGTTTGTTGAAATGCGATGACCTATTTTGTTGATAATTAACTAGATTTGTTTATTTATAATGGAAAAAGCCAGTTGAATTTTTTTTTTTGGTAATATTTCTGACACATTCGACATTTTAACTCAATTTATTGCAGGTTGTTAATAGAATTCAAAAACACGGAAGAAAGCTGGCCTTGAGCCGACAGATAGGTGGGGGTCTACTTTGAGTCATTGGATGAAGACAGTCGGACATCCATCAAATTTGAACTCACAGGTAAGTTTTGACTTAAGAAATCCACGACTGATCTGTTGTACTTGCTAAATCTCTTGTCGGATTTTTTCATCGAATGAAGCTTTGTGTATCGGCGTACTTGTGCATGAGTGACAGTTTCTGCGAGCTGTTATCGTATCTTTGTGTATGTTTTGTTGCTTGATGAACAGTGCTAGTCCCTCCAACTTAGCAGTGGAGTTGCGTTTGTTTGATAGTCATTGCGAATGCTCACTTCTCGTACGTCTTAATTTGCAGTGTGCTGTGTATAATATCTCAAGGTTGCATTTTATTGCAGGAAAACTAGATTAGGGATGCCATTGGATGTCCGTTGCTTTCCTCCGACAGTATGTCACCCATACAGTTAGGTTTTGATCATTTTGAGTATGAATTATGAACTTGTTGATTTAGGAGATTAACATTGATTCAACGTCTCTGTTCCTAAGTTAGTGTTATCTGATGCAGTTATTTTGTTGTTTCTTATTCTCGGAGTATGAAATTTCTTAATCTTGCCTTCATTTCTTATAAACAAAATTAGTCTCCTATATAAAATAAAATCTTGCGTCCGTCCCTATACGTATTTGTTTTGTAGGATCATATGGAAGGAATCGGTTAGGTTGTTTCAACTGAGATCAAATCTGTAGTAGTTAATGCACCTTATAATGTGCTCCTAGAAGTGCTCCCTTTTCATGGGTTATTTTTCTTACATGAACAAAAGTTGCAGATAAAGGTTGAGAACCTGCCTGCAGTGGAACATGTTCCCACGACTGTTGGGGAGCCTGTTATTCATTAATATATATATTGGATATGATCTATAATATTTGTTATTATTAACTTCAAGTTTGAATACAAATTTCTAATACTGTTGCATGCATGAGGCAGATGAATGCATTTTATGTAAAATATGAGGTGTAATTCTAGTCTCCTTTGCAAATTTATTTACATAAAGGCCCAAATCAACAATACAAAGAAATCTAAGTACAGGTAGTTCCAACCTACAGTTCCATGATTTGAGGAGATAAACTACCTCGCCCCATGGAACATATTATATATGCATGCAACAGTTTTAAAAAAATACAGGATATCTTAAGTACAGGTAGTGTTTCTTAAGTATCAAAAGAAAAAAAAATCTGGGTATTACAATTGGTAAAACGAGGCTGCAAATGGCTTGATAATTAGCGAGTTGGACAGTCGATCTGGAAAATCAGGTATTTTTCAATATAAATACCGATATCTTTTATCGGATCGATGGTTCAACGGTCAGATTTGAACACTCATGGTGTAATTTACTCTTTTTCGTTTCTTCCATTTTTCTTTTCTCTCCGTCGGGCACCGTCGACCGTCATAGATGGTAGCCGTTTAGTCCTAAATTTCATGGGTCGATTCGTCTCAATCCCCTGAGCCCGAATCTGGTGGATGTTTCACCGAAAATTGTCACAAAACCCGTGAATTTAGACTGAAACGTTTTGGTTTTCTCACTTTAAATCTCAAATTCATGGACTTCGAAGCAAGTTCTGACAAAATAGAGGTCGAATTCGAACTCAAGGTGTCGAGTAAAAGCGACCCATCCCATTTTAGGACCGAACGACCACCATCTACGACAGTCGACAGTGGCCGACAGTGGCATGTCCACCTTCTTTTTTTATTTTTTATTTTAATTATTTTTATATTAATAATAATAAAAAATCACGTCATCAACTGTTAAGAGAAAACATTCAATGAGCAAAATGATACGATTGTAAAGCTCAATGAGCAAATTGAAAGTTGGGTATAGAAAATAGGAGAGAGAATATATTCAGTGAGGAACGATGTAATTTACGTTAAAATTATTTAGAGCCGAGGTACGTTCAAGCTACTTTTATTTTATTAGTTTATTTAATATATATACCTGAATCAAGATAATTTGATTCTAGAATTAATTTGTGGTGGTTTTTGGTATTAAATTATATAATCTTATCGATAATCGGTTGATCTAGCGTGATGGACATTAGATTTTTTAAGTAAGACTAAATTTTGAATCCTGACATTTACATATGGAAAAACTAGGTTGGGAGGACACCCCATCATAAACCTTTTATAAAAATCGATTTGAATTAGTAGATCAATAAATTCGATACAGCGATAAATTAAAATATTTATTAAACTTTTTGTTGTAGTTTAAACTAAGCACTCAACATGCGAATTTTTTTTTATAATAAGTTATAATTGACATTATACCGAGTCGTTAATAATGATTAACATTAATGATTATTTATTTTTTAATGATTAAAAAAAGATTACCGCTTTGGTACCCATCAATAGAATGCTTCATAATTTCGGGTAAATTTAATTTATATATAAAAATATTATTATAAGCATAATGCAACAAAATACTATAATGTTTGATAATACTGTCAATTTCACCTTTATTTTTTGGAACATTTGACTACTTAACGTTTCATTTTGAGTCAAGAAACACTCTCGTTGAATGAAAACCGTTAGTCAAATAACGATCAATGCTTTGAATTGACTCAGTAAGAAAATGAGAGATACTGACGTAGTATATCCAAATCATAGTAGATGACTTGACAGGTCCACGTGGACTAAAATACTAGCGTGGCTTGTCCACGTATGATATCACGTTAGCAAAAAGATATTTTTAAATTAATTATTTTTAACGATCAACACTTGGTGCTGACTCAACAAGAACATGTGGAGAGAGATGTTGATATGACATATTCAAATTATAGTAGATGATGACTTGACAGGTTTATGTGAACTAAAATACTAATATGACATGTCCACATATGATGTCACGTCAGTAAAAAGATATTTTTAAATTAATTATAAATCAATGTAACATTTGATTGATTTAAAATCAAGGTAACCTATAAAGGAAAGGATAAACCAGCAAATGATGATAGTCATAGGAATTGAATTTGGAACTATTGGATGAAATGCTCAACAACTAACCACCAAGCCAAATTCATTGAATGTTATAATTTGATAATTAAGTTTATTTAGAATATATTGTAGTCATCAAACCCATTAGGATCACAATTGGGCTGATACTTTCCTTTTGTAAATTTGAGTTAAATTTAAATGATTAAATTATTTGAGTTGATTTAAATTCATATTTTAAATTTTAATAAAATTTAAATTTATAAACTTCAAATAAAAATTTATATGCTGATAATGGTCGCATTTGGGTGCTTTGGCAAAAAAATGTTACCTGCATCATCAGATTTATTTTTGATCAAAGTATTACTTTTGAAGGCTGCTCGGGGGATTTCAGTTTCTGTATTTCTGCTGTGTATGGGTCAAATGATAGTTTCATTCGCAAGCAACTATGGGCTCAGCTTAATATTATTGAAGCTTTTGTGGGAGGTAGGGCCTGGCTTATTGGAGGTGATTTTAATGCCATTTTAAGTGTTGAGGAAAGCTCTTCTCCAGTAAATTCTAGCACGATGGTTGATATTTCTGATTTCCAGAATTGTGTGGAGGGTCTTGGTCTACTTGACCATCTTTTCACTGGTCAATTGTTCACGTGGACTAATAAACAGTAGGATTCATTTTTTGGCGCGTCAGTTGGATCGAGTCCTTGTTAGTTCTAGCTGGAATGATGCTTTCCCGTCTTCTGATGTTGAATTTCAGGCCCTTGGGGACTCTAATCACTGCCCAACTCTTGTCTGGTTGCATAAGGACATTCCAGCTGCTATGCCCAAACCATTTAAATTCTTTAACTTATGGGCTGAGCATCCCAATTTCATGGCCATTGTCAGGGAATCTTGACAGACCCCTATCAATGCTAATCCCATACAATCCCTCTACTTTAAGTTAAAACGGTTGAAGCGGTCTCTCAAGGAGCTTAATAGAAGCTGTTATAGTGATATTTCGGGGCAAGTTAGGGATAAGAGGGAGGAATTGAAAAGATTGTAGCTTGCCAACCTTGACTCGGCTACTGCTGGTACGACCATACACGCTGAAGTGGAGACCGAGAAGGAATTGAAAGAGGAAGCTGAGATGTTATTTTATAAGCAAAAAGCTAAAGCGGATTGGATCAAAGATGGCGACCAGGGTACCCATTTTTTTCACTCTTTGGTTGCGAGCAAAAGAAAGTGTAGCACAATTAGAGTTTTATACAATCATAGTGGTGAAAGACTTGACACGTTTGATGCCATTTCCAATGAGGTGGTTGATTTCTTTGTGAAACAGTTGGGAGTAGTTGATCCTGAGGTTAAGGGCAGCAATATTAGCACTGTTAAGGAGTTACTTGGCTATTCATTACCAAGGAATGCAGCTGACACTTTATGCATGGATATCTCTGATGCTGAAATTAAGGAGGCCTTGTGGGGGCAAGTTAATAATAAGTCACCTGGCCCTGATGGATATAATGCTTTCTTTTTTAAGAAAGCATGGACTGTTGTTGGGGATGATTTCTTGGCTGCAATAAGGTATTGTTTTGACCACTCTTTTATGCTTCCTTTCTTCAATGCAACGGCTGTTGTTTTGGTCCCTAAAGTCCCAAATCCGAGTCTAGTTAAAGACTTTAGGCCTATCTCGTGTTGTTCTGTTGTTTACAAAAATGTCACTAGGATTCTAGTGGATAGGCTTTCTTATGTTCCTGGTATGATTTCTATGAACCAAACTGCTTTTGTGAAAGGGAGAAGCATAGTGACAACACTCTATTAGCTCAGGAAATTGTTAGGGCTACTCTAGGAAGAACATGTCTCCTAGATGTGCACTTAAATTGACTTACAGAAGGCTTTTGATTCCTTGAATTGGGAGTTTATAGGGGTGATCTTGCATGCTTTGGGATTGCCTGACAAATTCATTAGCTGTATATGGGCTTGCTTTGCTTATCCTAGGTACTTTATTGTTCAATGGTAGTCTTGTTATTTTAAAGGTTCTAGAGGTGTTAGGCAGGGTGATCCCCTCTCACCCTATATCTTGTTTTAGCTATGAATGTGCTTTCAAACCTCTTGAATGTGGCTGCTTTAAATGGGGTCTTTGGCTATCATCCTAAGTGTAAGAGGATCGGGCTTACTCACATTTGCTTTGCGGATGATCTGCTCATTTTTTGCAAAGGGTCTCTTAACTCTGTCATGGGGGTGCAGGCTGTTTTGGATAAATTATATTTCATGTCCGGTTTGAAGCTAAATGCTAGCAAGTGTGAGATATTTGTTTCTGGTATTTCTGCTGGGCAAAGCAGTCTCATCAGGGAACTTACTGGCTTTAGCTTGGGTACCCTCCCAGTTCGTTACCTGGGAGTTCCATTGGTTACAAGGAAATTGGCTGTGAAGGACTATCAAGCCCTTATTGACAAGATAAGGACAAAGCTAAGCTTATGGGCTAATAAGCACCTCAGCTTCGCTGGAAGATTGCAGCTCATTTGTTCTGTTATGCATCTCAAGCTATTGGTGTAGGCAGCTTATTCTATCGCTTGCGATCATTAGGAAAATGGAGTAATTATGTTCCCGTTTATTTTGGAAGGGCTCCGATGTGCCTGCTAAAGGTGCAAGAGTTAGTTGGAAGAAAATTTGTCACATGAAATCTGAGGGTGCTGGAATAAGGCTTGCATTTTGCAACTAATTAAAAAGCTATTGGCTAATGAGGGCTCCCTTTGGGTGGCATGGATGCATTCTTATGTTATTAAGAATGCTAATTTTTGGCAGATGGCTATCCCTACAAACGCTAGCTGGAACTTCAAACACTTGCTGGAAATCAGGCCTTAAGTTGCTCACCTATTCTCGGGCCAGGTTTGCGATCTGAGCACTAGGCAAATCTGGGATAACTTGCGTGCTACTGCCCCTAAAATTCCCTGGCACCATCTGATCTGGTTCTCTGGGTGCATTCCCAAATTTAGCATTGTAGCATGGATGGCTATGCTTAATAGATTGCCTACTCGGGTTAGGCTTGTTCAGATGGGCTTATCCATTGACACTGACATGTGTTTACTGTGTGGTACTGTGTCAGAAACTAGGGAGCATTTATTTTTTGAGTGTAGCTTTGCTAAAGAACTATGGAGATCCATCCTTGGCCTTTGTGGAATCGAACGTGGAGTTAGTAGCTGGAATGGTGAATTGACATGGGCTGTTCGTTTGTTCAAAGGCAAGTCACTTATCGTTCGCGTTTTAAGACTTGCCTGGACTGGTCACATATATGGGATTTGGATGGAAAGAAACAATAGATTATTTGGTAGAAGAAGTCGAACCAAGGATGTTGTGCTGGATGACATCAAGAACACCATTCGTATACACGCCTGCAGTTTTTGGCGTTCAGCAGAACAGAACCAGCTAATGCTGTTCTGTGTGAAAAATGGGGTATTACATAGAGGAGTCTGTTTTGTTGCTTTCTTTTCATTTGTAACTTGGGTCTGCTATGTTTGCTGTCATGGCTATGCTTAATTTGTTCTGTTTATTTCCTTTCTGGACATTGTATTTTGTAGCAGTTTCCTGCTTCTTGGGTAATGAAATAGAATTATCCAAAAAAAATTATAAATATATTTTCTAATTTAGTCTTTTAAACTTATAATTTTATTTAATTTAATCTTATGATTAAAATTATTTATTATTTTTTTAATTTTAATTTAATTTAATCTAATCTTCCATTTACAATTCTTTGTTAATTTTCTTACTATCAAATTCTTACCATCAATTCTTTGTTCCTTTATATTTTTAATCAATATTTTGAAGAAAAAAACTTTAACAATAACATTATAAATTTTTACTATAATATTAGATAACATTTTATTTATTAAATATGAAATTTACATGTAAAAAAAATCTTACTAAAATAATAGAAGAGAGACGTTTATATTTTTATAAATTTGATTTAATTCCAAGAAGTATGAAATTAATAAAAAATTATCATAAATCGATTTGTTTAACTTTTTTTTTATTTGAATATTTGTTTTTGAATATAAATATAACATGTATATATAAAATATAGTCTTTAAAATATGAAGAATTGTATTGAACTTATTTCTTTATACTTTAAATATCTTTCTTAGTAAAATTATAACATTCAAGGGACTTGATTTGGTGGTTAGGTGCTAAGCTTTTTACTTTTTTATTTGTATATTTGTTTGTTTAAATGTTGTTAATTTAATAAAATATAATTATTTATAATTAATTAAAAAATTGTTGACGTGGCATCATAATTGGACATGCCACGTCAACATTTTAGTCCACATGGACCTGTCACGTCATCATCTACTATAATCTAGACAAGCCATGTTAGTATCTCTCTCCACATGTTATTGCTAAGTCTGCTCTAAGCGTTGATCGTTAGTTGACTAACAGTTTTCATCCAATAATAGTGTTTTTGACCTAAAATGAAACGTTAAATGGTAAAATGTTTCGAAAAAAGACAAAATTATTTGTAATATTAAACATTATGAGTATTTTATTACATTATGCCTTTTTTATAATGATCATCATTCATTCGTTCTATTTATTGATGTACACTTCACTTTATATTTTATAAATACAAAGTTTCAGTTTAGTATTTGATACATCGAATTTTTTTCGCTTGCACTTTTTTTAATATAATGAGTAAATTTTATTTGATTTTTTTAGTTGAGCCGAATTAAGTTATTGAGTTTATGTTTAAATTTAATTGTAAATATTTATAATGTTATGATACTAATTGATTTGAATTTTACTGTCTTGCTATAACTATATATGATATTCATATATATTTCTTCATATTTTTTATATGTGATATGTGTGTATATATATATCATGCAAAGTTGAGGAACTCGACTATAACTTGAAAATCAATTCATTAATTACTAAAAAATTTGAATTATTCAATTAATATTTTCTAACTCAATTTTCATTTTAATAATTTTTTTAATTTGAGTCAGTTTATGAAATTACGAGTCGAATCGAATATAAAAATTTCATTTTTTTCAAATCAAACCGAATTTAATTCACCTCTAAACGCAATAACCTTAATCAAAACCAGTTTCTAGCGCAAAATACATGAAAATTGTTTAATTTCTTCGTATACTAGGTTTCCTGATTAAGAGATTGGGAAATATATCATGGCGCGTATTTGATTGGAAAAAGTGGTCGCAATTTATCAGAGACTGAAGTCATTGATTTTATATCAAAACATGTAAGTAATTATTTATATGCATGTTGGTAGGAATGGCAACGGGTGGGTTCGGGGCGGGTTTTGCTCTCCCCATCCCGAATTCGAAATAAATCCCCGTTCCCACCTCGATCTCTGTCGGGTTTTTTATCAGGGCGTCCTGTTGGAGATTTTTTTACCCCGTCCACGAACCCGACCTGATCCCGAGAAAAACCATATTTTTCATAAAAAAAATATATATATAAAAAAATAAAAATATTATATATAATTAATATAAAAAATAAAAAATATTATATATATAATTAATATAAAATATAGAAAATTCTATATATATAGTTAATATAAAAAATATAAAAAATATTATCTATATATAATCGGGGCGGGGATACCTTGCCCCGAACCCGAAAAAATTCCCAAATTTTTTTTCGATACCTGATCCGACCCGATATTATTCAAACCCGACTCGAATTTGGCCGGATTTTGGGTTTTCCCGTCGGGTTCGGGTCAAGCTGCCATCCCTACATGTTGGTTTCCTGAAGAATGATGGTTTTTGGTCTACCGAGTGTAAACCTCACTTTAGCTGGGTCATGAGGAAATTGATGAAGCTGCGAGGTGAGGCAGAAAGGTTGTTTGATGAGGGTTGGGTGAATTGGGCTTCGGTTGATAGTGGGTGGATTTGGGAAATGCTAGTTGGTACAAGGTTATTTGGTTTCAAGGTTATGTTCCTAAGCAAGCAATTATAGTTTGGATGGTTATTTTAGACAGATTGCCTAAGAAGGATAGACATGTTCGTTTTGGGATTGTTCAGGATGAGGGGTGTCGCTTGTGTGGTGTTGATAGGGAATCTAGGGATCACTTGTTTTTTATTTGTCCTAACTCTTACAGGATTTGGAGGGAGATCATGTATGTTTGTGGGTTGCAATATGTTCCTCGTTGTTGTGGGAGACTTTGCTTTTGATGGTTAGGAGGTTGAGAGTTAAGCCGCTCTTGGTTCGCATTCTTAGACTTGCTTGGTCTGTTTATTTGTATAGTGTGTGAGAAGAGCACAACTTCAGACAGTTTAGGGGTGTTACTGGCTCTGCTGATGTTGTGGTTGATGGTATTAAGGATATTGTTCGGGTAAAATTGTATAGCTCAAGTATAGATAGGGATAATAGGTTACTGTGTTTGAACTGGGGGATTCTTTAAGTTTTTGAGTTGGTTGTCCCCAATTGAGGGTCAGGGTACCGTGTAGTAGCATTTGTTACCTTTCTTTGAGATAAATGAAATGATTTATATAAAAAAAGTATTTATATGAAATATTAGCCAAGATCGATAAAGGGTAGGATGATTTGTATTAAGCTGTAAATGATCAAAAACAGGTAGCGCCATACAAGAGAATTCGGAAAGTGGCATTTGTAACTTCAATACCCAAGAACCCATCTGGGAAGATTCTTAGGAGGGAGCTCATCAAGCTTGCCATTTCCAGGATCTGAGACCATCACATCAAACACCTCAATAATTATAAATATATGCATTTTCAAGGCAAAGTTTCTGGTTTATGGGAATCTTTCATTTCCCTCGTTGGGTATGAATTTTATGTGTAACATTATTGACATTTCTCTAATTACTTTACCTTATAATAATGTTCTCGACTTTTGTACTTATATATTAAAACTCAAAATATATCATTTTTATTAATTAAAGTTTGATATAGCATTGATATCAAATTGGAAGAGCATGCCACTCTCGAGAGCACCTTTAGCACCACTAACGATGAGTAACGTTAAGCACTATTAATTTAATTTATAAAAATTTAAAATTTTAAAAGACTTAACATATAATTATAAATTAATTAAAAATTTAGTGGTAAATTATTTAAAATAAAATATTATTTACATTATTTTTATAATATTTTCTCAAACAATAATTGAATCAAATATCAATCCTTAAATTAAAAAATCCTAAATATTTTTTCTTTGTTTAAATAATTTACCTTTAAAATTTTTAATTAATTTATAATTAAACATTGAGTCCTTTAGAATTTTAAATTTTATAAATTAAAATAATGATGTTAGTGATGCTCAGAAATACTCATCGAGCATCGTAGAATTTTTCTATAATTTAAAGAATTTTTTATTGTTGTTTAAGATTATAGTTTCATGGGAAATTTAGGTCTTAATTTTGGATTTACATGTATGCACATGTTGCACTTAGTATTTTATAATGTTTTATTTTATATAAACTTGTTTTATTTTAGCTAGGTCTGAGTATTATTTTAAAATAACACATCCTAATTAAATTTAACTTTAAAATGTTTTATTGTTAAAAACATTTTAAAATGTTTTTGTTATATTAATAATAAATTTAATTATTATGTATAAACTTGGTGATGTTTGGGTTAGTGTTTAGTCTTTTTGTGATAATTATTTGTAATTGTTCGTGAAGACACTAGTTTTTTTTTACATTTGGTTTTTTATTATTTATTATTATTATTTATTATTATTATTATTATTATTATTATTTATTAATTTTATTATATTACAGGCCCAATTACAAATGGATCCCGGAGCCTAATTATGGCCCAACTAAGCTAGCCCAATGGAAACCCTAAACTGATTAGGGTTTGATCTCTACTCCAGCCGCCAGCAATCATCCACCGTTGGATCTAATAAGATCCAACGTTCCAAAAGCCTCCAGAGGAAATCCTAGATATCATCACCCTAGGGCCACGTCACCGCTTCCCTTGCTACCACTGCTCCGCCGCCTCAGGAAGCTGCTGCCACCGCTTCAACAGAACGCTCCAGAAGATCCAGCTGCCCCTCCACGCTACAACTCTATGGTGAGTCACCACCATAGTCTGGTGACTCACCAAAGAGCCCCTTTTGGACCGGTCTGAGGAGCCTCTCGACGAGGCCTATAAATGGCCACCATTTCCTGTAAAGAGAGGAAGAACCAGAGATAACCAAAACAGAGGGGCAACCAACACACAGACAGAAAGCAACGAAAAATAACTGAGAGAAGAGTGAAGAGACTTACCAAGCGGTGTCGGAAACCAAATGTTGTCAAACCGCCGTTTAATCGAATGTAAAAAAACCCTCGATTTATTTTAGATATAGGGTTATCAGAGGGTTATTAGGAAAAACGGGACTTGGATCTAGGACAAGGGAAAATCGGGCTTCGATTTGGGGTGGATTTTGTAATTTCCGGCCACCGTGAACGGTGGCCGGCGACGGCAATCGGCCGGAACACGGCTGTCGGCAGGAAACCGGAATCCATCCGGTGAAGAGAGAAGCGAAAGAGAAACGCTTCTCTCGTTTTTAGAGAGACAGAGGGAAAGAAGAGAATGAAGATGCTGGCCCGTAGGGTCAACCATTTGGGTATTTATATACCCTTCGCCATACGACGTCGTTTAGGGGGAGGGGTGTGCGTGTAATTTTCATCAGGGGTAAACCCTGCCCGCAGCCATCTTAGTTTGTAATCCTTATATTTTAGTCACTAAAATTGAATTTTGAACCTTTTAATTCATCCTTCGAATTTTATTTTATTATGTTTTAGTCCTTACCTGTATTATACATATATTTAGGTTAAATGCCTTATTTAGTCCTTCATAATTTTTATAATTTATTTTTTAACCCGAATTAATTAAATAAGGTTATATTACATTATTAGCATTAAGTTTTTTTTTATTAATTCGAATTATGCCCTTTAATTTTGATATTTTACTTTTTTAGTCACCAATATTTTGTTTCTTTTCACTTTGATCCTAATTGTTTTTATATATTTTGCAATTTAATATTATTGCTTTTAAATTTATTTTAAATATTATTTATTATAATATTAATTTGTTATTACTTTTATATTATTATTATTTTCATATTAGTCACATAAATATATATATATATATATATATATATTTTAAATAATAATGTATATTTATTTTCAATATCAAAGAAAAGGGCAGTCTTAAAACAATTGGATGTCCTATTATGGTATTTTAAATAATTAAACATTATAAAAATTATAATTTAGTTTTATTTAAATTATTAAAATTTTAATATTTATTTTTATTTATTAATATCGAAGAAAAGAGCTGTTTTAATGTACATAGAAGTCCTTTTCTGATATTTTTAAATAAATAAATTTTTTATAAATATATTTAAATTAATATATTTTCTTAAAAATTATAGTAATAAAATTTGAAATAACATAATTATAAATTAAATATATTTGAATTCTTAAAATTATATTATTAGAGACAATTTATAATTAAAAAGTACCAATTTTAGGCGTTGTAGGGGTGCTAATCATTCCCTAAACGTTCCCTAAACGTAACCGACCACGAATCCCTTTTTATTAATAAAAAGAACGAATTTTTGGTTATAAACGCAGATCAGTTCATTTTTTAACTGATGTTTTCTTAAAAACTCTTTTAAAAGATAATTTTTAGGTATTCGACCTACCTGACCCAAAAGGTCGATGACGACTCCCAAATTATTTATTATTCACATTATTTTTCCCGCCAAAAATAAAAAAATTCGTGCCCGGACGAAAAACGGTTATGACAGTTCGAATTTAGTTCATTTATATAGATTCAATTCTTAATTATATGTGCAATTAAATACGTATAAAAAATTAAAGAGAGAGCATTAAAATGTTGATGAAGTGTTCCAGTTCTTCAACATGTTTAATGATCCTTAAACTATATTTCGAGAGGGAAAAAACAACAATTAAAATTCTAAATAATAATTCCATGGAAAAATAAAATAAGGTTACCATAAAATTCTCAACCTCAAATAAAAAGTTAATTTTTAAATTTAAAAATATAATTTTTAAAAATCTTTTACAAATCATAAAATTTAATAAAATCTTTCATTACCATAAATTTCTAAATCATCTTTAAAGATTGACTAAAAATCATACTATAAATAAATAAATATGATATTTTTATTATTAAAATCAAATCAATTTAATGTTCTTTTTTTTTTACTTAATTCTAATTTAAATCAGGGTTTAACTTATTGAATAACTTCAATAATAATTTTTATTTTTTTTAGAGGATTTTGATCGAATAACTCTATATGCAAAGTATATCTTTATTGCTAATAGAATAAGAAAAATATCAACTAATATCTAGGGGTGGTAATCGGGTGAGGAAAAACCGAAAATCATGGGGATCTAAACCGACGAGGATGGGGAATGACCAAAATCTTCACCCACGGGCATGGGGATGGGGTAAGTTTTAACCCCGAAACACAAATGGGGACGTGAATTACTATAACTGAATCGTACTCGTGTGAATAAACGTGGGGATCTTGAAAAATAATCATAGGAATCCTCGATATTTTACAAAAATAACAGTAGGATCCTCGAAAAATAAATGTGAGATTACGTGTTGCCACTATTACATCTCAAAGGAACTAAAATTGAAGTTTAGATTTTTCTCATTTCATATACATTGATTTGTTGATATTGAAAATGATTAAGATTGTACATATACATTAGGTGTTAGATGAATATTAACGTTTGAAACTTTCATATTGTAGATAGAGATAAATTAGAGACAATATAAATATATTTTACAAGTTTCAAGTGTTGCATTGATTTAAAAAATGTTTGTTTACTTATTTTTGGATGAGGATTAACCAAAACTCGCATTGATCTGTAAGGGATGGGTATGAGGACAAAAAAATCCACGAAATATATAATGGAGATTCCCAAAATCGTACCCGCAAGTGTTGAGGACGGAATGGGTAATGCAAAACCGTCCCCGCCCTCCCCGTTGCCACCCCTACTAATATCGTTTTAATAAAAAAAATTATTAAAAAATACTACATTTTGATCATCTCATATTATTAAAAAATTGATTAAAGAAAATTAAAAATATTAATCTAAAATATGATGTTTGAATAGTTACAATTCATATATTAAAGAAACTATGAATAATTAAATGAAATGAAATTTATTTTTTTGACTTTATATTTTTATAAAGGTTGTTTAAAAATATTTATGAAAAAGATTTTAAATTTTTTAATAATATCCAAAAATATCAACCAATATCATTTATTGATATTATATATTTATTATGCATTTTATTGAAAAATATTAATAAAAATATTTTTTAAATTTTTAAATAATATCAGAAAATATAACTCATCTCATTTATTAAAAGTAATAAAGTATTACATTAATTATGTAATTTTATATTAATTATTTTTTTCCTTTTTACAAATTGTGACCTATTAACTAGAGGAGTATACAATTCTTTTCCCGTCTTTTTCTTAGCTTCGCCGCCGCCATCTTAAGCTTTCAAAGAAAAAGAAAAACCAGGAACAAGAGAAGAATCAAATGGAGGAGGTGTGCGAGGGAAAGGAGTTCTGCTTCCCTTCTGAAGAGGAGCGTATACTCTCGTACTGGTATCAAACAGATGCTTTTAAGGGTCAGCTTGATCGCACTGAAAACATGCCGAAATACGTCTTTTACGACGGCCCGCCCTTCGCCTCCGGAGAGCCTCATTACGGTCACGTCCTTATTGGGACCATAAAAGACATCTTCACTCGCTACAAGTCAATGACTGGTCACCATGTCATCCGTCGCTTCGGTTGGGACTGCCATGGTATCCCTGTAGAGCAAAAGGTTGACGAGAAGCTCGAAATTAAGCGCCGTGATCAGATTCTCAAGATGGGAATTGATAAGTACAA